TAATAAGCAATATATATATATATATATAGAGAGAGAGAGAGAGAAAATATGGTTCAGCGAGACCGTCCTTCAAAGGTGTCGTGGTGTGAGGGAGCATTGTGCGGTCTATTCAAGAACCACATTTTGCAAAAAAATACGCCTTTATTTCAAGGTGACAGTAAAATACATGCTCTGCTGGTGAGTGATTCCACTTAATATGGCGGCTAGCTCTATGGGACACAAACAAAGGGGGGAATCACACGGTTCTTCATCCCTTTGTTGTCTCTGCCGTTCATGTACTCTTCCGAAGAGAAATTTAATGTTTACATACAACTCACTTCAGAAAGGGCCTTTGGATAGAAATCGAACGTTTCAATATCTTGAAATGTTCCACCGTGAGACGTAAATCAGCGGCTAATGTTGATAAGCAAGTTCTGTTAAGGGTTCTCACACAGGGCGTGTGTAATTCTCTGACATCTTATTCAGTTTTCTAATACTGCCACAATGAACGTTGCTCAGACCAAAGTGTCCCAAGGGGAAAACCGACTAACAGTTGATAAAAATAATCGATAGACGTCTTTCCAAACGTAAACAGGAGATTAGATTAGAATTAGTGAATCATTTAGGGTTCCTACCACAGCATCGAATTACGCGTCCTCAGAGGAAAGCGGATTCCGTATGAGGAGACAAACGACAACTGGTACAGTCTCAGGCAACGGTACGTATGTATTCCTCTGTGGTGTCACCTGGTAAGGATGGTACTAAAGAAGAGATGGCTGACGAACCTCCTTAATGAAACCCATGGTCGGCCGTCGATTTGGTGTATATCTGGTAATCTTGCCTGATCACGCATCATACATGTTGTGTTCACCATACACGGTTTGCCTTAAGACTTGGGCTCCAAACTCTCGTCAGATAGTTGACAAAGTCGGTCACGATGTCTCTCCTTCAAAGCAGCTGAGATCCTTGTTTGGAAGGCAGAATGGTGGGACAAGATGTTGGAGCATCTTGGCTTGTCTCCTACGTGCCAACGATTGCTATGATGTCATCATAAACCGCCCAGCATCTCATATTGTGGCACTCGACTCTCTCAGTTCATCAAGGCCATTATCGGACCGGGGGGTTGATGGATTGCAATGGATGATTAATGACTTTGAGATCCTACGTACCCATGACACGTTCTAGCAAAGTGCCGAATTTTGACTCTTTCACCCATCTTTCAAACCCGACAATGTAGGTTTAGTTCACGGTGCGAATGTTTGTTGGACTCTCACCTTCTACATTTTGGTACAGTTTCAACATTGCATCATTTTATTTCTTTGCAACTCACTTTTTAAGTTCAATGCTTTCTCGTCCTGATCGATGTGTTTGACTAAACTCCTTGGCTTTTTTCCCTCTAGTCTCAGGTCTACATGGTTGCGACTTTTATCAAAACCACTGTGGTATTGCCGCAAGCATTTGTAGTGATAGAACCGCTTTGAATTCGGAAGTGGAAACCTGTTGCTCAGATATAGTAGAAGGCCCAAAGGATACGCTTTCTGACTAACGAATGCTCTTCAAATGGGTCCAATTCCCATCGACTTTCACCATATTGATTTTTATGGGCATGGAGGTTTGCTATTCTATACGATGAAATAAGCCGATTTTGAAAAATTCACGTTCCCAAGTGCACCTTATTGAGGCATCGAATACATCTAATTTTTTTTCTCCTAGATTTCAGTGCACCTACGGATATCAATATTGAAGCGTTCCATGACGAGTCACGAATCACGGCAACATGGGTGGCTACTAAAAAGTGCGGTCCCACAACGTACGAAGTGACGATTTACGACAAAGCTGGTGGTATCATTGATAAATCCGAATTTAGAACTCCACCTGCCAGATTTGACGATCTGCCAAAATGCGTGCCCTTGTTTTTATCCGTAAAATCACGTGGACAGGGATGGGAAGGTGACGAGTCGGAACGAAAGGAATTCAAGGTGTCAGATAGTGAGTAGTGCTTCTTGTGTTCACGGTACAGACACAATTTTGGGATTTATGAACCAAATCTGCTTCAGTTTTATCAATTAGAATCGCGGCCGCTATAACGGAGGCCGTATGCTTGTCATACCTCCATGATATATATATATATAATATGTTGAATGGTAACTCATTGGGGATATACGTTCCCGGATAAATACATTTATTCTTTGTTGTCAATAGAGTATACTCATCTAATTAGCTTTAAAGAGAACGAAATCGTTTGTGAGCTCCTGAGGAGCTCTCAGTAAATTTATGCGAAGTGCATTCTGTCACCAAGCTTTATTGGATGGCACTCAGATGGAGACCTAAGCCAATATAAGCCATCTTCCAAGCTCCCTTGTACAGAATGACACATTTTATAGTTTTATCTATGGTTAGAATGAGACGTTACCATCCACATCGGTCCAACATGATTCTTGTTCACTGAAATCTTGATCCATTTTGATTTGGTGTGCCTTCTGGCTACCAAAAGTGTTTAAAGCCAACATGTAACTCGTTTCGACCTAAACAGAAACGTCTGCGGGTATGTGGGATGTCCACCATTCATTGTTAGATGATAGCTTCTGTTCAAAATTTTACTTTCAAGTTCCACAATGTGTCCACAATTTCTTTGTTTACTATGTGAATGGCATGAAGGTGACGTGTATAAATTGCCGTTATGCAGGATAACCTTCGCATGGTTTCCACTTTGTTTCAACCCGGGAAATCAACAGCAGTCCCAGTCCAGTCTTAGTTTCATCAACGGATGTGTGTGCCATATTGAAGCAGTCCTGTTTTCCGGCTACCTTTCAAAGTGACAACGCAATCCAAGATGTGGCGGAAGACGAAATGGTCGAACTATTTCAGTAGTCGTCGCCGACAACCTGTGTTAGAAGTTGTCAGGTCGTCTGAGTCCCCCAGATATCGAGGTTTCGGATGCCTTCTCCGAACGTCGTAGTTGATGCGCTACGAAGCCTCTGCGCTTTACACGCAAGACAGTGTGCATCCAAACGTGTTAGATAGAAGCCTTCAATGTATGGCACTGTTCGCGAACCTTTAATAAATGATTTCCAAAGTGACGCAAGTATTTAAACGACGTTATGAGACCGGTAAAGAAGCCCTTGAATGTTTAAATTGCATGAGATTATACTGTTGCATTCGAGAGGCCAAGGTTTTGTTCCCGAGTAACGCACTTTCGGTTGCACAAAACTGTGAACCTATCGTCTCACTTCTCTCGGTTCAGCTCTTTAGGGCTACTGAAGTTCACAGACAGCGTATCTTTATATGGCATACTAGGAACCGTCGTTCAAAAACCAGCTTAGTTAAGCCCTCTTAGCCTCTGAAAGTTCTAACTGGTGTTCGTTGGGTAGTCTGATGTGGCTAAGTTGACATATCTGCTACGGTTCGGGATCGAGATTGTTCAGTATTCAGGGACTGGAATTATCTGAGTGGAATTTCATGCGACCTCAATATGTTTAAACGACTGCATTCTGAAACTTATTGTAAAAAAATCTTTCTGACAGTGGTATCTGGTGAAGGTGTCTATGCGTAGATATAAAACACAGTTAGATCCAGCGCAGTACCTAAGTTCCGAACAACACCACGTTCCAAAGTGTGAGTAAAATATGAGTCAAGATACGACGCAGAATCAATCTAACAGAGATCTGATTCATTCATTGGACAGCTGTGTTTGAGCCACTCATAATTCTTTATTCTTGGTATTGAGATCCTCACTATTCCTGAGTCTCCTGTCTTACCATAAGTGAAATCTTTTAGATAGTTACTCAGCATAGTGACGGCAATGCCATTCGGTCGATATGGACAGTCTGGGCCAGCGAAGAAGGCATCGATTGTCGGGAACAGATCATTATCGTGCAAGCTGGCTGATTTAAAGACTGTCAAGAGGAAGTGGGGGGCTATCGTATGTGTCACCTGGTTTTTGTCCGAAAAGACGCCTCTAGACCCTAGAAAAATGAGTGGGGTCGGCGAATTAGCGGGAAATTTGTCGAGAGCGATGCAATCGCACTGCTGTCATGTTGAATTGTTCGTAGATGGAGAACCGTTCATACAAGTTTCTGTTACCCTGGCGTACGTCCATGCGACACTCAAACATAACAAGTTGGTCAGTGGTTAGAAGTCTGACCGACGCATCCCTGTGGCTCTCCAGGTTTTTGATTTGGACCAGTTGTGGCGATTCGCTCTCTAAAAATGCACCTGCATTTCCTTCCGAACATCCCTGTCTGGTGGTCGGGCTTTTAAGCAAAGGCTTTGGTTGAGGACTCTAATCGTAATCTTGTTCAGGTATGGGTGACCTAGCAGTGGCTTGGCCCAAGTAGAACCATGAACTGTGTTGAACCAGTGTTGAATGCTGATGTTATGCTGTCGATAAGGATGATGGTGATGACCAAATAGACTTTGTTGGGAAGCAGCCGTTGTCCGACAGTGTCCTTTCGGACAGAAATTGTTCTCCACCTATTTACGATAGGAAGTATTTCCTTCCTGAACTTCAGATGGTTCTACTGAACTATTCCGTTTCTCGCATCGCCGACATTACTCCCTAATCAGGAACAAAGTATTTGTGAAACTGGAGGAAGCGTGCTTGAATCTATCGACATCAAACCTACTGAGTGCAGCCGACAGGCAGGTTATCGATCGGGTCGGTGAGTGACTTTAATAGCATCTGGTAGGCAACAAGGTTTTCAAGGGATTCCATATGTGCCAGACTACACTTGGTTACAATCTCGTTGATGGAGTAGAGCATTCGTTCCACGTATATCGTTTCGTTCCTATCCAGTGCACCTGGACTTAGCATTGTCAAGACTCACTGTACTTACTTCCGTTCCATTACAATAGATTCATACTTTTCTAATTCAAAGGTTCAAAATTTTCACTTAGATTTCTCATTTGCTTTGTAGTCCTCACGCTACCCAAGGCGATCAAGGTGACACCACTCGAGAACGTCCCTAGAGTGTCTGTCTCGTGGGAATACGATGGTCCATGTGCGGTGGCTGGATTCGAGGTGGCTGCATACAGGTCAAACGGAGTTTCAATCGCCTCTGAAACCACAGATGATCTCGCTGTGATGTTGTCTGGCCTACCAATGTGTGAACAGCTGTTTGTTGGTGTGGCAGCACGCAATAGCCTTGGAACTGGTCCACGCGCAGACAGTTCGCAATTTACCATACCAGCAGGTAACTACTAGCTTTTCCGTTCTCCACCAAAAGCAATTCTGATGACCAAAGTTTCATCGAACGTCTTTTACGTCCAGGTCAGCACTTATAGTGATGTCACTAAATTCCGCTGATCTTCACTAAACAGACGTTATGTTTCACGAATGATTGTGTTTCGGTGCTGTCTTGCACGGACACTTGTTTTTCAGCCGGAGGCTGTCTTCCATAGTACGACAGCAATGTTGCAGTGAGTGTATAAGAGAAGGGACAGTTTTGAAAGAGTGCAATATATTTATGTGGTAACAAAAATTTCAGTCATGGTTATGGCAGTTGTGTAGTGTTACAGAACTAAGTCTTTCGGGCGTTCCTTGCAACTATGGTTAGCCTGTCAACCTGTAATCTCAGTTTCAGTTAGGGCATGATATTTTTCGCTCTTGGTTTTTGAATGACCACCCTAGCACAATACCGTGATGTGTCTCTGTATGGTTATGTGGTAACGGTATTTTCCTCAGCTTAGTTCTCGGTCTGAGCCTCCCAAGCTAGCGTTCACATCAAAACAACCACCAAAGGTGCACAAGGTCTATTAATGCCCAAAACGAAGTCAAGAACAGTTGTACAGCGCTCCGTATATATAGCGTAAGCGGTTATAACTTTCTGGAATTTCTGACGCATTCTGGATGCGACATTGGCAACTGGCGTCTGGCCAATACTGGGTCATGATTGGCTTTTGGGTCCAGATTGTTGACCAATCAGATCTCGTCTTGATGCCGGACCGGCAAGCGTCCCGAATTCTGAGCCAACCTCGAGCGGGCCAGGCTTCTCGACCGCAGCAGCGCCTAAAGACGTGCCGTATAGTGGGATCCGCGTGGATTCCTGTCTAACAGGTTAACAGCCTCAACGGCGCATGGCTACGTTGTTCTTGTAAATAAAGGCTTGTTTCAAAGTCCATGAGATTAATATACCTGACTGTGCAGATCAAACGGCTCAAGTTTTTCAGTACTGAACAGTGAAACGCATTGCTCAGCTCTAATGTCTTCGTTTCAGAAGAGCTGGATAAACAATCGGCAGTTTTTATTTGGGCAACGTTTCACTTTTGACACAAAAGCTTCATCAGTGCATGTAAGCAGGTCACCAAGTTGACCAGGTTATGAGGCAGACGGGGAAACAATCAGTAAGTCCGATCACACTAGATCAGTGTTGAGTATCGATTAACGGCTTTTGTCCGTTAGTAAAGTCGTCAAAATCTTGCTTTGGTGGATTAGGGGGTGGGTCAAATTAATTCTGATCGGGTTTGGTTGAGTTGATGATTCACCTCGGTTGCCACTGGTAGGTTTTTCCTGCTCCTTTTGGGGTCGTGAGTGCTCCGACAATTTAGTTTGAGGGGGTTGAGGTCAAGTGGAATACAGATGCTGACCACTCTTCCTTCTGATGACCGCACACCAACACGTGTCAGCTCGAGTGACCCAAGAACGTTCTCCACATGCTTGCCAGTTCCACGCGGTAGAAGCATCCCAGTGTTAACAGTTCATAAACTTATCAGGCTCTTCTGAAACGATGACTTCTCAATCCGTTCCAAACCCTTTCCAATTGATTGAAAACGGCTCTAATGTCCTTAATCCAAGTTCATGATCAGCACGCTCGTGTAAGACGTGACGCATCAGGTAATATGTGGTTGATCAGGTGGATGTTGATCTGTTTCCCGAGCTTGGAAACTGATTTGCAGACGTTTCGTTTTTCAATTCGAAGAAACATCTTCAAACATTCTTTAACAGTGCACTGAAGAATGATGACGAAACGTCATCATCATGATGATGAATCACCAGCAGTGTGCATCGTAGGAAATTCGGAGAGATTCAAACTGGCAACATTCCGTCCAGTGGTTGGGCCATTGACCGTTTGAACAGGGATGGCTGATCAGCAGTATGATTATCTCTCAGAGAGGACATGGCGGACATAACGGAGACCATATCACGTGGTCAACTGTTGACGGGCGGCTTGAGTGACGAGACATGCTTTCAATGGCCAGTTTCCTCTTCAACAGAAGTCAGCACATCTGAGAACAAACAGTGAAGCACAAGAAGTCGGCGGAAGACTGAACTTAGATGCTCTCGACGGAAACTGCTGGGAGAAAAGATGAGCGTGTGATTACAACCAAATGGACTTTCCAAACACGAATTCGTAACCACTGCTTTTTATGATGGCACTTTACTGTGTAAGGTACAGAACTGACCTTCCAGTCAAGGGCTTGATGCTCGGAAAATTGACCTGTCCTCTCCCGTGGTGCCCACTTTTAGAACAGGTTTTGATATCCAAAATATCCAGTTGTGACAATTATGTTCCGGACGGAATATACAGGATGAAACTCGATATTCAACTTTCAATGGATACTGAGTCCTGCAGCTGAAGGTAATATCTGCTGGGAAGTCGAAAAACACTGTACAGCTATTTTATCCTTAGTGTGAATTCCCAACATTGCACAACTCTGGAAATTCCAGGGAGTTCTGAACCAGTGACATCCTAGCTAGCAGTTTGAGAACTTAACCGTTTTACCACAAGCGGCTGATCCGCAGTGTGAGTAGCTCTCACCATTAGCTTGATATGTCTGGCCGACTCGCCTTCACCATGTCCTGTCTGGGTGAACGACCATCACACTGTTAATCAGTCGCTCATGGTTCAAATACTTTGCGGGAGGTCGCGAGTTCGAAACTCTCTGAGTGTTGTGAGATACACAACACTACTGATTCCCAACAAGTATGCAACTACTCCACAATGCTTTTCTGCACAGACTGGTTTCGCTCACAGGATGAAAGTTTATTGAATATAATCGGATCTTCCTACATCACTTTGAATGTATGGTGTAATATGGAAGCGCTCTGATGAATTGAAATCGTGAGACACACACTACCTTCTATTTAGCCGCTGGCCCAATCATTACAAGTATGACCCTAAAAAACTATAGAAAACCAAAGAGCTCGAGGGTACAGTGCTCCTCAGTTGATCAATCGATATAAAGTATACCTACGTGGAACAGAACTTTCCGGCCACTGCTCATCAGGCTATAGCACCGCAAACTTTTATAATGGTACGCATAATTGTATCCACAAATGCGAAAAAGAGTGGGTGAGGGAGGGGACCTAGGGCTGGCCTATGTCAAGCATTCTGAGGTGCTTACACGTCCAACCGCTCAATCAGACGATCTGGTCCCACAGAAGTCGTGCAAAACTTTACCGATTCAAGGTGACTACCTTACCTGTTTTTTTCAAGCAAGACACCTGCGAACTTCTTCAGAGGTTCTCGCAAGTAGCGAGTTGACAGATGTGTAGCCACATTTCGAGTCCCTTGGAAATCAATGACTCTAGTTACTCGATAGCCTGTGAATACTTTTTGAAGCTCTAGTTAGATCACTACAAATGTAGTCATCGTTCATCGTATGAGTAGATTCGAACGAGTGTTGTGAAATTACACTTGAGCCAAACTTTCTCAAATCTAACCACATTTAATTCGGTCTGTGATCTTTTTTGGTTGACAAGTATTTTTCAAAACAGAAGGCGCAGCTAATGCTCAAAACCATCCTGACAGAGTACACCTGCTAGCTGGTTGGCAACTACGAATAGTTCTAGAGCTAAAACTCAGGATATTTTACAACCACGTGTTTTGAATCAACATGAGTTCCCAATCCAAGTTTCTTTTTATTCGTCACAAAAGTATAATAAATACCCAATTATCCTCTGGAATTTCTTTCGGATTTTCATATTCACTGCAAACTGTTCGCGACAGATTTCTAGTGTTAGTGAACTCTTGGGCTTCTTGGGGACAAGAGGAGTGCATATATTTGGCAATGCTGATCAGGTGCACGCAAATACACTAGTCGTAATCTGGGCACACTGCAGTTGAGTAAAAAACGACATAAGGGTCACTCAGTAATTGCCTCTATGGTAACTTGATGAGTCCGCTCAACTTCTTATGGGTCATTAATATAAGTTCGGTGATAACCAGACGTACAGAGTTCATATCACATGCCAGTATGACGAGCAAACTGTCGGAGATCACGTATATATATATGTAGTGAACTACTCATAAGGTTGATGAAAACGCCTCGACCGGCCGGTTTCGCCCTTTTTGGGGCTTATCAGGTAGGCGCAGTTCCCTAGTTTTCGTCAACCGTATGTTCTACTTCAAACCAAATTGCACGAAATTAGCGAAATACACTCAGTTGCAAACGAATTTGCGAGAGACTCACCTGGAACTCACCCTGGAACATCACGAACGGAAGATTCAGCTTGATTAGGGTTAGACTCGCAAAACCAAATGTGTTCGCAAACCAGTGTATTTCGCTAATGGTTGGTATCATATTCACAACCCGTCTGAACTACATGCTCAGTTGTAACCTAGGCCAATAAATGATTATTGCTGCTACCTACTTTAGTATCAACTCCTGGTGTTGATTAAAGGTAGAAGATGTTCGCGGATCCTCTGATCTAGATATCGTTTGGTTGTAATGCTGGTATTTCCAGCCTACTGCAACTAAACTAAACAGCCTTCTCTGTGATCAACGTGTGTGGCGGCGCACCAAGTTATGTGCACCGTAGTGCTGAGGGGAGTTTGTAGCAAGGTAATCTATTTTCCATAGTGTGAATAACCACTCGCGGCGGATAGATGACGATAAATCTACTAGCGGTACCCACAAGCTGTGATCCTTTTTCAAAGAAGGAAACGTTTCCTTCAAGTACGATCTCAACAGACATTGTATGTATATGCATTCATTAGAAAGATAGTGGCCTACTCACTAGACGCATTAGAGATATGTTCCTAACTCCATCGAAAAGCATCATCCGGGATAATATCCACCGCGCATTCATCTCCTCTTTCGATGGGACTCTGTTTACTGTACAGTCTGAGCCAAACAGCCATTTGAATCATCCACATGTTGGTCGCCCAGCACTGGCGACACTTTAGGCTCAAGTGATGAATCTCCGTTGCACCATGTTAGTGGACAACATGAATTAGATTTCTCCCTGCACCAGTTATGAGAATGGGGCACCTAGCCTTCTCTCTATATTAGATCTACCCTGACAACCTTTGTTCACAATCAACACCTATTTCAGACCACTGAAAGAAACAGCAAAATCTAAAGTTAATAACCGACGTGCTGGAACTCGTCTGAGGTTCCTAGGACTTGGTACCATTGCATAGATGGTAACCAGGAGATAAAAACGCGCGTAGATTCTAGCGTTTTTCGGAATCCCGTTCAATGACACATTCTCATAACCCTACTCACGGCATACCTGCATTATCTCACATATTTCTCTCTGGAAAGGCATGTGTGCCATAAAGCACGCCACCGGCTTTGTTGGGTTTGACAGAACCCAACCCAAGTTACATAAGGCTTGGTTCGGCCGGTATACAAGAACCAAAGTCATTTCTCCAAACGAATACTTGGGAATTGATCGCGAGTTCTTTGTGTCCAAAGCCATGGGACCCCGTCTTATGTAATAAATAACTTGTGTCGGTCAGCGAACCACTTCCATTCTTCAACATGATCGACAACCGCATAAAAGAAAGCCACTCAGATCGACTGAACTGCTCGATTTCTAATTTGATTTGGATACTTTTACACTCCATTCTATACATTCTTGTAGTTCCACAACCACCAATGTCTGTTCGGGCAGCAGCGGAAGTGAATGTTACCAGAGCGGCTGTTTCGTGGGAGTACGATGGTGCATGCTTAGCTTCCGAGTTCCAGGTACGGATTTATGAACCGGAAGGCTCTTTCTCAACGAACGTCGTCACACGGGGTCTTAGCCATACGGTCACTGATCTGCCGGTGTGCGTCACACTGAGGCCTGCCGTGCTTGGGCGCAATAACGTTGGATCAAGTCCACAGACGAGCGGATCACCATTCACAATTGATGCAGGTAGGTGGCTTGCTTTTCCATTTGCACCACTTCTAGCCATGCACGTGAGCAAGTTCGGCCTATTCTGAACTTTAATAAATCCGCTGTCCATCATATGTCATCACCCCACCTCAACTTTCCTTGCTCGCCCCGCCCCTAAGGTCGACTGTGACCTTCTCATCCACATCATGAGAAACTGCACTTTTTTGGGTTTCTATGTAAAGACTCAATTTCGTCAATGCACCTCTTGCTGTGACCGGCAAAAGTTGTGCTAATAGAACTGCCCACGCCTTTTGATTCTGTCCCTCGCTCTCCAATCTTTAGAGATCACAATCTGCTGTGTACGAAAAACGTCATATATTGGTTTCAAGGTCATCCCGTGGCCACTGTGACCCTAAGGCCGTGCTGATCGTTGTTCTGCTTGCCAAAATTATGATAGTTTGCCAACTTCTCATCACTGCTACAAACATAATGAATTTCAGTCTCTGAGCAGTCCATAGGTGCCAACTAGTGAGAGCAATGCACATAGGAATACTGTCTGAAGACATATTTGCCGAACAGCGTAATGCATTCCTGTGGGCACAAACTTCATTACAAAATATGCATTCTCCGCTTGATTATACAGAGAAAACATGGATGGGATTTCACCCCTTTCTAACGAATATATCGTTTGATTACACCTGTCAGTGCGTGGGCAGACCACAGCTGATCGGATTTGCAGAGCGTACTTGTCAAGGTTGTTTCTAAGAGTAATACTAGTGATTATACCTCAAATGCACCGAATCGTTCGTAATTTTGTCTTGCGAACCTGACAATTTTGCAGTTCCCTCTCCACCAAAGTCAGTTCTGGTAACATTGCAAGCTAAGTTCGCAGTCGTCACGTGGGAGTATGACGGCGCATGCGCAACCACTGGTTTTCGCGTAACCGCTTACGAACAGCGCGGATCTTTCTCCAAGACAGTGGAAACCAATTCTCGTAGAACGGAAATTACCGACTTGCCACATTGCGTGACACTACTGGTTAGTGTGCTTGGATACAATCTCGTTGGGGCCGGTCCCAAAGTGGAAAGTTCAACATTCAGGATAGACAAAGGTAAACCTCCTTCCTTATTAGTTGCACAACTTTGCATGCATATGCTTGTGTTTTGAAACATTTCGTGCAGACGCTTAGCATGCAATCGTAATAGTCTTGGGTTTTGAGTCACCTTCGTTAGTCTTTAAGCGCAGGAAGCAAAACAAGCCCTCTTCTCAGAACAATTAGTGGGACACCAATGGATTCGACGAACACGAATGCTTTTGTTGGATCTGGAACAGTTTTCCAATAAGGATTCCATACGGAAAAATGTTCACCTGATAAGAAAACCGACAAAGCATGTTACCTCAAAGTTTCATTAGTTGGCGAATATACAGTCATTTGCAAGCTAATTTGATTTTTCGAGAGACTTACCCGGAACTCAGCTCAATCTCTCGGTTTTGATGTTTTAAGGCAACTAAATGTGCTGCACCAGGCCACCCCATGTTTCAGTCGCTACGTTATTCGACACACCGCGACACATATATGCACTACTCATAAGGTTACTGAAAACTCCTCGACAGCCCACGACCGGTTTCGCCCTTCTTGGGGACCATCAGGTAGGCGCAGTTCCCGAGTTCCCGTCAACCTTATTTTCTACTTCAAGCCAAATTACACGAGATTAACGAATATACACCTGCTAAGCCCCAAGGAAGGCGAAGCCGGTCGTGGGCTGTCGAGCGGTTTTCAGCAACCTTATGAGTAGTGCATTTCATTAGTTGGAATTTTTTCGTAATTTTCCCCCTTTATCTACAACGATAGCTGTCAACCCGGACGAGAATAGTCATAATTTTCCATGAGTTTCAAAGATCTCCATGAATTCCATTTATTTGAGGACACAGGTTTATAAGAAAACGGATCGTTTCTCCCACCCAACAAACGTTTGAACCATCTGACATTGGTCCTCAATGTTTTTGTATTTTGCTTTCCAGCAGCCAAGAGTCTTGTTCGTTACCAAGAGTGGTTGCGTGGTCAGGATATCTCTTGTGAGCAGTCACCACGTGACTGGACCTTGCCGTTGTATGACGGTTTGTGCGCTTCTGCAATCCATACACTTATACAGGAGACTTCCGTGCCAGACTCAAAAAGTCTCCGAAACCAAGCTAGTCGTTGTTTTGTCCATCACAGCCTCCTCACCCTTCAGGCTGTGCTCACAATGCGCCTACATTTCATACCAAGGCTTTAATTTACAGGGTTTGGTCGAAGTTGCTATCTGCCATGGTAGCATCTCGGCTGGCGTCCTCAACGCAACCAGAAATAATCTCAGCAACACCAGCTGCCAGGCGGTGTTATCAGCCAACTCGTCTTAATCGTTTTCTGCAGCGAAGGCATAATGCTGCTTATGCCACTCTTCATCTCGTCCGGAATCTTTTACTCTTCAACTCCTTAGCCCCACTAATGCTGCTCTTCTTGTGGGCCGATTCTTTGTCAATGACAACTTCATTCGTTTGTAACACCCTCATGCCAGTTTTAGACACGCCGATGTCTATCTTCGGGGCTCAAACCCGAGCTCATTCACCTGGAGCAATAGGCTATCAGTGCTAGTAAGCTCAACTCAACTGAAATTGATGTGTGTTGCATATAGGAAGCAAACGTTCAACGTTCAGACACAGTCGCTTAGTTGGCTGCCGCACCTATCTCCTCTTACTCCCGGTCGAACACCTCCGGCGATTCTTAGGCAACTGCAACGGGTTGTGCTGTAAACAGTACAACTGTATCTCTCTAGGCCATGTCCGGCTGCATACACACTGATGGTCGTCATTGTGCGATTCGCTTGGCAAAGCGTATGGGGGAGACCCACAAGCTACAAGTTAATCGTTGCCTGTTCATCAGGCGGTAACTCGAACATCACCAAAGACAGTTTTCATGATTGCCATGATACGACAAGCTAAAGGCATAATACAGCGAACTTCACTCAGACTTTGGGTGCTGGATTAACAGATACTTTCGCTTGAATCTCGAGGAACTTTTCATGCCGGCACCGAACACAATTCAGCTCGGTGGAATGTCAAAAGCCAAGTGGAAATCGGCGTTGGTGACAGTCGTCAAGCCTGATGAACAAGAAAGGCCAAGGGAGTTGAGGAAATGGAGAAAGTCTGACACCCAAAATTTTTCCCTGTTTATCAGTGTAACGAGAACAAAACAACTTGGGTCCAAGTTAGCCTGATCAACTTTAATAAAGAAGGATACACTGGTCAACGAACCAAGTGCCATTTAAAACGGTTCTCTTAGCAAACTCCTGCTATTTAGCTGATTTTCAAACCGCATTAGAACTCCGGATAGTGAACTCGAGACCATTTTCATTGTCGAAGTTTTCGACCGCATATATTATCTGAAATGCATCCCTGGTCAGCTTTTCTCTGACCCTTTCGTCTCTAATGGGGTGGTTGACCCAGGTAGCCCAACCGATTTGACAATAGTGTGCGTTTTCAAAAAGGGGACCACCGCGATTATTGGGAATATAGAGGGATAAACTTTAGTATAGTTGTCACGAAACTGCTAGTTATTTGTTTCCCATCGATTCGTGATGGCTGATGAAAAATTGGTCAAGAGTGGCAAGAAAAATGAGGACTGGTGAAGTTCGGGTTGATCACATCCGCGAAATCGTCTGGATTCACCAGTGGCGTCCGTCGTGTTGCTGATCCACAATTCTGGAATTCCATGCTGCATCGGACTGTGCTAACCTGTCCGTTCTCCTCAAAAGGCTTGCCTGACAAGGAATGTCGCTCGGGTGTCTGTGAATAAGTTTTCTCGTGTTTTCTACATTTGTCAGCGTGTGACAGTATACCGGTGTAACGGTGATACTACTGATGGGGGCATGCGAGTAGTGCGTTTCCTCGTAAATCCGCTATGCGTCTCTTGAAAAGTGAGATCTGTTACGGAATTTGTGGAGTCGCTCTGTAGCATTTGCTTGCAACTGATTAACAGTCAATGAATATCCCGGGGAAGTTCAGGAAGACGCATTCAATGAGAAGAGGGATATTCAGTTTTTGTAAACAATATGCATATGGGAGTTTTGCTCCTCTGTTCAATAGTCTGTAACTGTTCAGTTGACACTTTCCAGAGTTTTGCTCTCTGTCCAATAGTCTGTAACTGTTCAGTTGACACTTTCCAACAAATAACTCCGCAGCAAGGGCTTTCGTCCTTAAACCGGGGCTTTCTAAAAGCTCCGGTAAAAAAGTGGTGCATGACAAGGATGCCCTTTCCTTTCCTATTCGACTTCAAGACCGACTTGACCCGGAGTATAGAGACAACGTCATTCTCGTCTCGGGGTGGTAAAGTTAGACACACGTGCCTGTGGATGAGCCGATAAAAGCAATACGTTCTTTGACTTACTCTTTCCGCCCACAAAAGTCGTGTAAAGTCATGTTACTAAACACGCGGTCATTGAACGCGCCACCTACAATTCAAAAAGAATCACCCGAGGTTGTGGAGCATTTCGGGTATGTTGCAAGTCGTATAGGTTCCAAATTTAGCGATATGGAGAGCATGGAAGTGCTTCGAATTTTCTTCACCAAGTTGCGGCGTTTTTGATAGCGAATCGAGTTATCTTTAAATCTTGACAGGTGCGCATATCAGCCCAAAGTACAAGGTGTTTTTTTTGTGTGGCCGGTAGAAGTGGCTCATGCGATCAACTGAGCCTAGATATCGTTAGGATTCATTGAATCATTGTTTTGTACTGTACACTTGGTTAAAGGAATCATTTAAAGGTCAAATAAGACTTCTAGTTGGATTCCCTGTTAACTCTATGTCTATTTGAAAAAGCCTTGACCACCTCTGTGCTGTTTATGAACTTTAATACAGGTGACAGGATAAACTCCAAAAAGAAGGGACAGGAATGGGTCTACGGGAAGTTTTATTCAATCACCCTGTAATAGTACCGTGTGAATAAGAATCGCCATCGTTTTGCTGGATTGAGCCACGCCACCGGAATTGCATGTCACGCTTTCATTCCAATTTTAACCCCCATGGTGTTCCTATACGAATCCCCTACGTCGTTTCATTCAGTTTTACTAATGAGCCGTGCATTACTGTGACAAGTATTCTACTTGCACACGCCAGATGCCCCGTTCGCGTGAAAATGTATAGTGCTGAGTCTAACCTCTCCGAAAAACGCAACCCCTAAAATCTAAGTGACCTGCTGAGAATCGGTAATGAGATGAGGCTTCACTAGTTTAGCTGTAATTTCTGAATCACGCCCCTCACTCCGCAGTAGCTGATAGAGCACAGAAAGATGTGAGGTAGCCTCCGAGTAGTGCTGCAGTCTAGAAGTCTGCCTCAACGTATAATTCCATAACATGCCAGATGACTTCCTGCGTTCTGTGCTTATTTCATTCTTAAAAATCGTACAGGAGCAGAGGACGTTGGTCAAAAACTGATGTAACTGTGGAATCCTCGTTTGGTAACAAACTCGCGAACGCGAGATAGTCCATCATCTCTTGCAGTGACCACAATCGCCTGGTTGCGTTTTCACTGACAATTCGGTATATTATTTTTCGAACGAATTGACATGGGCAAGGTAGAACTGGATACAGAATTGTACAGAATTGGAAACATCAAAATCAAGAGATTCAGCTGGGTTCCAGCCGAGTCTCTCGAAAAACCAAAATGGTTTGCGAATGATTTTATATTCGCTAATCTCGTGCAATTTGGCTTCAAGTAGAACTCGGGGACTGCGCCTGCCTGATATGCCCCAAGAAGGACGAAACTGGTCGTGGGCTGTCGAGGAGTTTTCAGTAACCTTATGAGTAGTGCATGTATGTGTCGCGGTGTGTCGAATAACGTAGCGACTGAAACATGGGGTGGCCTGGTGCAGCACATTTAGTTGCCTTAAAACATAAAAACCGAGAGATTGAGCTGAGTTCCGGGTAAGTCTCCCGAAAAGCCAAATTAGTTTGCAAATGAGTAGATATTCGCTAAGAATTGATGGTTGTTCGCTGGATCAGGATAACCTGTTACTGTCCCACTTGTTTTTCGTTTTCAGTCCCCAGAGCACCCACTAATCTCAGGATAACGACGACGCCGGATGGCAGTGTTGTCATGGTTTCCTGGGATTATGACCATGAATGTGCTGTGGCCGAATTCACCGTTACTGTGTACGATCCGAACAATGTGATTGTGAACACTTTGGAGACGAGTGAACAAGAAATTCGACTTCACGATCTGCCTAAGGGTGTGGCCCTGACTGTTGGTGTTCAAGGACATAACGCAATTGGTTCGGGTCCAGAAGTAATCGGCAAACAAACAATCATACTGACGGGTAAGAATGGTCCGCGAATAAATGCACGTCCGTAAGCCAGGTTCAAGCAATCGATATCTGGTTTTTTGAAATTTACCTACCAAACATAGGATGATACCTTGTAATGCTCAGTAGGATAATTACGAGATGCAAGTGCGCGAAGCTTGACCGCTGGTGTCTCTGATGTAACCAGAGGCCAGAAGAATCCTGGATGAAATGAAAGCAATATTATTTTGCGATTGCAAAACGTTTACAATATGTCTCTCTCTATGCTCAGCTGGTAGGCGACTAATTTCATCGCAGAATCTGACTAGGCCAGACATTCATACACACGAATTATTCGTCTTTTGAAATGAATAACTTTACCTTATTTCTGATTTAGATCTGGAAGCCTTACGTGCTGTCTCTGGACGGGTGTCCCGTGACCAACCACAGTCGGGTCCCGCGTTGACTCCGATGGGCAGGGTCGAACGCAGTCCACCCGACAGCCCTCGCCCTATTCAAACAAACGACCGGTTGAATTCATGTGACTCACCGGGTGCCGGGGTTTGTCTGCAACGAAGAAGTGAAACAAGCGGGGAATCCGACCTGGGAGGTAGGTTGAATCCCAGAGGATCTAATCAATAATTGATCTGATTGAAACCATCAGGGTTTGAACGACTGAGCAATAGGGATGACATTCTGGAGTGTTTAGTCTCTTGTGTGGACTGTTTTAAGTGGCCACGTAGTTTTTGTATAGATCAGATTGGAGACCATAGTTTTAGTTCGGAACTGATCAACAAGTCGTCGTTAAATAAATAGATGGAAACCATTCGGAATATCTATCAATGCGAAGTAATATGCTCTTTGCTAGTGTATAAGGTGACAGTTTGACCGAGTTTTAAGGCTGCCAGCCAACCAAACAGTGCATCCAAGCTATCGATATTCCACGACGCCAGTGGGTTATTCCCCATATGGTAGACTTAATAAGTGCTGAAGGTTAGGTCAAAGTTTATTTCTGATTGGTGATCATTACTACTGCTCACGACTCATGCGTTGGAAGAGAAAGGAACATCACTTTGGATCAGGTAGAAGCCGTGTTCACTCAACTTATGACATTGTGTAAATATTCCTCCCGAATGTTGTTGGCCAAATTTTTTGGTCTGTGTTTGGGGCAGTAAGTGCTAGAGTACATGAACTGAGTAGGAGAAGGGAGTGAGATTACCTGTGCTTTAGGTGGCTTAGGGTTCGTGCAACCACCCATGTACATGAATCCTCTTCGCTACTGATTTTACAACACCACAAACCAAATTGATCAATACCAAAAGACTTTCCCACATTCTCGCCCTTCATTCTATTTCTTTTTACTATGCTCCACACAGTTTTCGTTATCTAAGTAACCGATTGGTGTGATATGACTCTTATTACCTGCCTCGAGCTTCTCAACTTTCGCAAATCTATTCTTCGTCCGTGTCCTATTACTGTTGGACGTTTGATTGCCACCAAAAATTCATTTGCTTTCTTTGTTTGTTCGCCTAGATCCCGTTTGCGATTCCTAATCTCGGTTTACACCCCCCTGACTGTTTCAGCCATTTCGAACTTCGTACGATCTTTATAAGCAAAAGCAGAATTAATCCATGCTCACACAGAGATGCACCCCTTCAATACGGTGAAACTAACTATGCACTGACCACGTCACTCTGCTAAAGACAAAAGTTTTTAAACTCATGGGACAACTCGAATATCGACCAATCGTTTTATTATTTACGAATATGTTCACAGAATGTGCATTTAAGCCCTAATTTGGCTTTGACAAACTGAAAAGCTCAGAATGTTAAGACGGGTAAATTACACGAGTACACACTGAATACACACAGTACAATATAACATAGTGCATAAAAGTTTAAAATAGCGGGATCAATAAACAGACAAGCAAACAAGTTCCTTTGCAGTTGCCTGTTATTGCTGATTTCTCACAGTTAATTCTTGTGTTTCCATTGTAGGCAACTTCCCAGAACCTCCGAGCAATGTGGCCCTGCAAATAGACCGATGTAAAGGAGTGGTGACGGTTTCGTGGACACACAGCAATGCAACCAGCTTCACAGTGAATTTCTATAGTGAACTGGAGATTACAATGGAGAAGAGTACGCAAAGAAAAACCATGACCTTTGTAAACTTACCAAGAGATCTTCCTCTGCGCATTGGGGTTGTGGCAAACAACGAATACGGAACAAGTTTAGAAGCCCCAAGTGCTGAATTCTACATACTTTCCTGTAAGAACATACTTCCGATCAAGCGAATGCTCTGAAGCTGATAAGTTGACTATCTGAACTTGTCTCTAAATTGACGGTCGTTGAACTTTTGGACACATGCCACAGCACTCATTCCAGGGAAAGACGGTATCTAAGTCGATCTGTCGGAACGCTTTCCATCACTCGACTTCACTCCATATAGATTAGTTCCTTAGGGTGAACTCCTTGTTTGCTCACCGGAAGGTAACGACATAGTTCACCTGGCACCGTATAGGTTGCAGTTTCGGCATAAAGTATTAAGTGAAAGAGCAATTGATCCTATTGTTTTCAACAAGCTATTCCTATTCTAAAAGTCCAGTCTGTGACAGTTATTCACTGCGTGAAGTAGTTAAAGGTATATGTGATCGTGTATCATTGGGAGCCTGTATTGCTAACACCGTAGGGCGGCATGACTGAGTTGGAGAAAATGTGCTGCGGCGTAGAGGATTGTATGATTCACTGAGAACAGGCTCAAGGGTTACTTCGTCCAGGACGAGGGCAGCGCGTGCATCAGGAGAATATTGCCCAAACATTCGTTTTGATGAGGGGATTGGCAAAATCCTTGGCAATGTGAGGCGATTTTGGATTTTTGTGTGGAGATTTCGTCCTGTAAGTGAAACCAATCTATGCTGAAAAGCCGAGAAGCACTGTACAGCTGTTTCATCCTTATTGGGAATCATCAGCAATGCGCATCTCACGAAACTCCAGAGAGTCTAGAACCCGCGACCTCCTGGCTAGTAGTTTGAGCAATTAGCCACACGGCCACCAGGGACTGATCAGCAGTGTAATTTGCTCGCACATCCATCTGAGAAGTCGTTGCTTGAGGAGCCAGTCAACATGTGTGACCGCGTGATATAGACCCCGGGAATGAAGCATGAGCGGCGCTATATTCTGTCTAAGTGCGAGTTAGTCAAACTGCTGATCAGCCAATATAGCGCCGCTCATGCTTCATTCCCGGGGTCTATATCACGCGGTCACACATGTTGACTGGCTCCTCAAGCAACGACTTCTCAGATGGATGTGCGAGCAAATTACACTGCTGATCAGTCCCTGGTGGCCGTGTGGCTAATTGCTCAAACTACTAGCCAGGAGGTCGCGGGTTCTAGACTCTCTGGAGTTTCGTGAGATGCGCATTGCTTGCTATTCCCAATAAGGATGAAACAGCTGTACTGTGCTTGTCGGGTTTTCAGTATAGAATTACCTCACTTACGAGAGGATGGGCAAAACTGTTTACTGAGAACACAAGCGTGTGCTTTCCGTGTATCCCTCAGATGGGAACGACATGCCAAGTGCTTTCAGTGAATTCATCGTTTCAACGTACATCAGTGCGTCAGGTGGTTTGGAGGTTGTCTTGACCAGGTTCGTTTGCAAGACTGTACACTCCGTGGTCGGAAGTACCTGCTTTTCAGTCTTTTTATCCTTCCCCTAACTGTCGCCGACAAATATTTTATATCAGGGCTTTTCTATCCTGAGAAGATAGAACCAGTGATCTTTACAACCTGGCGAAAAGACGTGCACCTTCGTGCTTCAAAGATAGTTCATCAGGGGTTACGTGAGGTCCAAAACAATTGAGATTATGGGAAATAGTTGTATCCTAACTATTCCATATCCACAACCCCGCTCCCTCATATGCTGAAATAGTTGATGTGTCCAAACTCCACTCAAGTACGAGCCGATGGAGTTTACATACAAAGACCGGAACGTACTTGTAATTTCGTACGTCAGACAATAGGATTATACCATACTTGAAGGGACGTATTGTCACCGGCCTCCTCAACCGAGATGCAACTATCAAGAAAGCAAAAAGGATTTGGACCAGAAAAGGGTCTTGTATTAGAACAGTACTACGCATGAATCTGCGGTTGTTTTGTATTCCGTAAATTTGTTTACTCTTTTATGGATGTTAGAAGAAACGTTTGCGGACAATAGTGATACATTTGGAGCTTAGAATACAGTGGTTCCTAGTTTACCAGTTCTTTCGTTCTGAAGACGACTTTTTCTAACGGTATCCAGAAAATATGCAAAGAACACCCTGGAATATTCGCATGAAACCACGCCAATATTGGGCAATCAATAACGGAATGTCAAAAATCATGCATCATTCTTTGGCAGTGTGAAAGTATTTTACTGTACAATGTTTAGTTCCCTTGTGCCTCAGTCCCATGAGAACAAAAAATGTCACTTCGGTGAGTGAAACACCAAAGCGAAATTGATTTCTGTAAAACTGCCTAATCTGTGATGTTAAAGGCGAATTTTTCATCAGTGTGACCAAGAAAACCGCTCGGGTACAGAGTCTTACCACGCAAAGTGTCAAAAAAGCCTTCGAAAATTCGAAAGCAGATGCCCCCAAATTGTAGCAGGACTTGGTTGGCAGCGGCGCACCCCAGCTGAAGTGGTTCACTTGGGTAAATGCTGCTTAGTATTGAACGACTAACTGCTATTAGACAGTCAAGCTAATTTGGACACCGATGGAACCAAGATCTGTTTATATTTTCAGATTAGACTGCACGTGAATTTTCTCGAAGCTGGTTGGAGATTTCAAAAATTGCGCGCAGTTGACCCATGTGACTGCTTGGTACTCCTTTCACATAGCTAGCTGCATGAATGCAACGAGATGTGGACTTCTGTTGCCTACTATGATTAGCTCCTATCTTGTTGAGCCTAGTTTCTCATGTGCTGACCTCTGCAACTGTCGCCCAGCTAAGCTCGTTAGCAGCGATTTTGATGAACTTTAGTCAAATCGATGTAAAATTCGGCTAGTTCGCATAGTCTGCTGTTCTGTCACAACTCGCATAGCCGTTTTTTTAAACTCAGCACTGTAAAAATGTGATACTGGAGCAAACCGAACAAAAACGACCGGCTTTCTTTTTGTCTCCCCTCCCCAATTCGGTCAGAACTAGGACCCGGAAGCGAACAGTATGATATGCTTTGGCCGACAGTGGATGCAATTTCCGCTTGTAGATACAAGATTGAGCCTTTTCAGTTTTTAATTTTTATGTCAGTTATTGATTTGAATTATGCTTTAACTTCACCGGTTTCTGAGTTACGGTTTATATAAGCCAGAATTGTTGTGTTCTGTTTATTATACAGGTGATGGACACATAAGAAGTCTAAAGGGGTAAGAACTTACCGTATCATCGAGAAATATAATCATTTGCAAATCAATTTGGTTTTCACGAGAGACTCAACTGAATCTCTCGTTTATGATATTCTACAACTGAATGTGCTGCACACAAGCCGCCTCATGCTCCAGTTGGCACGATATTCGGGATATCGCAGTATGTTTTCACAAACCACTCACAAGGTTGCTGTCGAAGAGTTTTCAGCAACCTTGTGAGTAGTTTCCTGTATCGTATCATCGTTTATTGCCAAAAACACGCTGAGTCTCTTCCCTCGGATTGGGCTGGTTTCCTGATCTATTCATCGTCCTGTCGAGCGGCGAAGTGTGGGAAGCCAACGGTTGATTGCAAACACTCACTAACCCGTCTGGCACGAATCACGTTTAACAGTTGGAAAACACGTGCAAATGTTGTAGGGAATTGCGAAATTTGCAGAATTTGCGCTGACATAGCTCTCATTTGAACAGTCATTCTTCTGGCTTGATGCAATTATTCCCGTGAGTCTACCTTAAATGGGGGGTTCGCTCTTATTAGACCTTATCAGCAGTGCATATACTTGGACGTGTCGGGGCTTGAACACACCCTACGGTGGCACAATGAATTTACCGGTACCTTTGCATTGCTGCATTGCACAGCTAGCTTGCACATTGCCAGCTTGGGCGGTGTGCCCACTAGCTTTTGGCCCGCAACTAAAGGTTAAGGAGTCTACAAGTTAATATGTTACAGTTTTTGGAGTTTTATGGGGTAAGTATTTCGTTCGTAGTCACACCACTCTCGTCTGAACGGCCGTCTTCCTGTTCTGGCGTAATTATCTCGGTGAGTCCACACCAAAGGGAAGCGCTGGACTCGAGTTTCGCTCTTATTAGAGCTCATCAGCAGTGCATATCCAGTGGCCGTGCCGGGATTCGGACCCCGGACATCTGACATGCGAGGCGAGCGTGCAACCACTACTCCGCCAACGCACGCTGGACAAATATGAATTTCCACGTCTGAACAGGCGAACGTGTTCACATTTGAGCGATGTGACTGGTGTGCCCGACTCATCGAACGACGACCCAGTAACTGTCCTGGTTGTGACGGTCGATTGATCCGCCAATCAGGACTTCCCAGTCAGGCAGCGTGACACACGCTTGAAACCCTTTAGGCAACTTTTTGGTTGCAATTTCTGGGGTTTTGTGGGATAGATGTTTTGTTCGTAGTCACACCACTCTCGTTTGAACGGCCGTTCTCCTGTTCTGGCGTAATTATCTCGGTGAGTCCACACCAAAGGGAAGCACTGGACTCGAGTTTCACTCTTATTAGAGCTCATCAGCAGTGCATATCCAATATAAGTTAACTCAACTAAATGAATAAATAGACAAACAGAAGCTAGGCCAGTAAGAATATTAACATACGCAAGTTATGCACTGCCACTAAATGCCTCTTCGGGACTCCGTGTCCTAAAGGGGTAGAACAGTATATCCACTTTCGCGGAGACATAATGCCAAGGGTTGATTCCTAGCTGAACCAGAGATGTCATTTTCGGTCGATGATTGCCAGAACAAAGTGTACGAGGCGTCCAGCCTTTTGTATCACCAGAGAGACAAAACATTTCCCACCGTGGTGAACATCGCGGGATTAAGTGAAGTTGGCACACGAAGGGTGACGCTATCACCGCATTTGAAAAAATTATTAATCTCATTACTAGACGGCGAGCACTCAAACATCGCACGTTATAATCAAGTGGAAAACACTACTCACCAAGAGAAGCAACTAGACCGTTCCCAATCTGGATGTAACTTGGAACGGGCCGCACAATCTTAAGAGATTTCCTACCTGATTTTTGGTCATCCACACTGCCTACCTCTTTCCCCTTGAAAGATGGTCTGTCTCAATCAACGTTCCGTTTCAAGATGCTACGCAATTCCCCGTCGCGCTGCCTCGCTCAGGTCACACGGTGACAAATAGTCAACAGACACCATAGAAAGAACAGTTGATTCATACGAATTTCCGGATATGAATCCATTAATCTCACAATCAAAAATCTACATTGAATTCGGCTATCGACCTATCTTTTGATGCTAGGTTACCTCTCAAAACACCTGCTCAGTGATTGGATGGTTTGCTCCGCTCTTCAGGATGGATACTATGTAATTGTTCAGCCCCTTATAAACATTGTCCAACTCTGGGTGGCAACTGGAAGAATTGGAATTGCTAAAAACCTCGTCGCAGCATAGTAGCACAAATTTTGCTTTGTAACCCACGGGGACCGACCGCAATTGTCTTCTTGACTTTATAGCATTGCGGCTTTTCTGTGGAACTCGAGAGACGTGGCGCTTTCTTACGAAATACCCAGGACACTCAGGCCTAAACCAGATATCTCCTGGGACTTAGTCTCAATCCAACTTCCCTTATTCTTGGCTTCGTTTTGCATACTAAATTGACGTTTACCAGAGACTTAAGTGCATCTCGTGTTTATGAGTAATATATTCCACCAAGAAAATGCACCGCAATATCCTGGATATCTTGCCAAACAAGATATGACCTTTTTACAGTACATTCTGTCGAAGGATTTCCTAAACGAGCCTCCCCTCGACATCAGTGCAATTGGAAAATAAACGAAGTTCGCAAACAGCTTTCAACTTAATGCTCGAAAAGAGCTTATGGATGAATGAAACTCGGCGAATACGGTGAACATCAAGTGTGGCTAAAACTTTGGCGGGATGTTGAGCTGTCGACAATCTTGTTTGGTGTGTCAGGTGTCAGAGTGAATTAGTTCGAGACAGTTTTGTAAGCCTCATGCCAGTTTTTTTTTAATTACGGTTTACTTAGCCTAGCTGGGTCGCTATTGACAGAATTGTATCCATCAGGAACGCATTTTACTCCTGTGTTCATAGTCGTACCAATGCCCATTATCACTGTTTTGGTAAATAACTTATGGGCAGGCGCATCATTGAGACTTTGCGTGAGGTAGTATAACTGGACATATGTTTAGAATGAATTTGAGTGCGATAAAATGTGCTTTCTTTGTTAGAATGCCATTTTTCAGTTGGTTTTACTTGAATATGTATGTTCGACCTCAAACACTTTTGTGTTCGCGAACAAAACTTCTGATAGCTCCGCAGTAGCTGTTGCCGGTCATTACTTCCTTTCTCTGTTTTTCTCAGCATCCTTGAGTCGTTTCCAGATTGTGTTGGAAACGTCTGGCCGAGAAGAGTTACTCTCACAACGCTGGTGTTTTCGTCATGCTTGTAACAGCTTCATTCTATCTAGTGAGACCATCACGTTGTGTGGTTAAGTCCAACAACAAACAATGAGATTAGTCATACTGGTAGGAAAAAAGAGTTGACATCTTTACGAGACACACCAACTTCACAATTAATTTACTTCCAACAACTGCTCGATCAGCCGCGTACTAATTTGATGGTCAAAGCAGCATTAGAATCCCCAAGGTAGCCATTATCGTTTGACTATATGAGACTGTCACTATGGGGTTTTGCTCATTTTCATCCGCAACACTGGCGCTAAGCTAGCCGTGTCACCTGAAGCACTTTATCTCCAAACCGTATGTTTTCTTCTGGAGAGCTACGTTTGGATGGTCAAGTTCTGTGACAGATTAACTGGGACGTAACCCTGTTGCTTAATACAAATTAAACAGTACATTCTTTCTGAAAAATCGTCTTCCATTAGTAGGTCTTATAACAAGTGACATTAGCAAGGACGATCGAATACACTTAGATGTGATTTACTCGTGTTTAGTTTGATAAGGGGATTCCCTCAATCCTGCTGACTTTCCAAATGTACCACGTGATCAACACAATCTAAGGGTTGATAGTAAGACTAGTGAGTGGACATTCGTGCTGTGACTGATTGGTTCTATCGACCGGAACGATTCGAACACCGTTTGCGGTCGATCAGCAGAGATAGTCACGTGAAACGAGTGACACGGTCACTTACCTTGGTGTTTCAATCGTTCAACCTAGATCTCTTTATAAGAAAAGTTTCCATAAACGGAACTAAGCAAAAAAATATTGAAATGAACTATGTTGTCTGCTGTTTGTACACAAATAACTGCTGAACACATTTTTATCGTATTAAATGACCAGGAAAAAATCACGAAAGGGACAGAAAAGAGGAGCAATTTGCTGTTCTGACGCAGACTGACCATTGGACAACTCTGATTTAAACGCGAAAAATCGACAAAATTGAAACTTCCTCCTTGTGTCATTTCCCCGTGCCTGATTCGTCAAATCAACTGATCGACAAACCTCTCATTGGTAGTTTCTAACTCGTTTCGATTCGCATAAACCTGCTTTTATTGTCGTTCTCTTCTACTCTTGACATTCATTTGTTTATGGAATGGGTGGGTTTAATAAGTTGGGTAAGGCTATCAAAACACATTCGTCTCGAATCCCACCGGTCTGAGAAAAACAGCGTGAACAGTAACAGAATATCATCTGATCATTTTGACGCACGTGTTTTAAGAAAATCAAGATTATTTTCATAAACGAAACTACTCACAAGGTTGCTGAAGACTTCTCGACAGCCCATAACCGGTTTCGCCCTTCTTGGAGCACATCAGGTAGGCGCAGTCCCCGAGTTTCCGTCGACTTCATGTTCTACTTGAACCCAAACCTGAACCCAAATCAAGATTAAATCTCGTTCAAACTGGACATTTCTTATGCTGATGACAGGCCAGGTTCAGAAGAGGTAAAACTAATATTCAGTTAGGATTTAGTGCTGTAAGTAAAGCTCATTTATACTGAAAAGTTCAAGCGCAGTGTACAGCTTTTTTTCTCTCTACTGGGAATTATCACCAATGCGCCTCTCACGGGACTAACTCAAGGAGTCTTGAAACTGCGAGCTCCAGACAAGTGGTGGTCTGGACACTTAAAAGTTCAGCGACAATGGGTTGATCAGCATTTTTGTGTAAGTGTGATCCTATCTGCGTGTGAATTAAACAAAATGCTGGTCAGCCGTTTATGGTTGAATTTTGGAATTACGAGCCGGGAAGTGGTCTCACCCCGTCTTTCTTTATTTTGGCCTTTTTTTACANAGCCTTTGTCTCATTATTTCATCGATCACGAAGTTAAAAAGGAATGGAGAGAGTGGGCATCCCTGACGGACACCGCTTTGTGTGGTGTCCGTCAATCTGTGGTATCTGCTGCTGACCCAGTGCCTAGTGCCAGAAAAAAGACTCAGAATGGAACACAACAGCTATAATCCGAACAAGCGAGTGAGTGCGTGCGAGTGCGAGAGCAAAAGCTATTACGGCCCCATGCTATCTAAAGGGGAATTTCTGACACTGATCCAGGCTGTCTGATAGGCGTCAGTGTAAACTCATCAACATCAATCGTGCCTCTGTGAAATGCTGATCATATTTGGTCGTGCTTCTGTGGCGTGCATGAATACCCATCGGCCTTTGCTGAGTTGATTGCATGATTGGCTGGCCTGGATGCTTGCTGGCCTTCCCATTGGGATTTTGGTGGAGTTTTAGGGTCTCAGTAGGTTGCGGACGTTCTGGAATCACTTTCAGGAATCTGACCTTCCTGGGAAAAACAAATCGCCATATCCTGAATACCTTACCAAACAAAAATGTGCCCATTTTACGGCACATTGCGCTTTTGTTCGAAGGTCCCAGCTACTGGCGTAGAAGTCGAGGTTTCAAGATTCTCTGGAATTTCGTGAGACGTGCACTACTGCTAATTCCAAATAAGAATATAAAAGCTACACATTGCTTCTGGGCTTTTCAACATAGATTGGATTCACTTACAGGACCCAATCTCAATTCGTGATTGACCAGATGCCCTCACACTAGCAAAAAACCCACCTTGTTTGGCGCTACTGTCTAAGAGGTCCTCCGACCCAGTCTCCAACACACAAAGTGTTGCAAACTCATGTCCATGGTCACATGAAGATGGGTAAAACAAACAAATGGTTAAATACTTGTTTATTTGAGTAGTGAATGAGACGCCATTGGGTGCGCGTCACTTGTTCTAAATGATACTCATTGGCAAATGTTATGATGAAAAGGAGTCTTAAGGCGTTTGGGATTTGGACATGAGTGTTTAAATGCATCCGAGCAGCACTTGGATTCAGATCGAGAGAA